CGGCCAAAATCCCAATATCGTGCATCCCTAATTAAAACCCTTCAGCTTTAAATTATACTGGTACATATTGACAGAAACATCTTCATACCTTTGCTTCAGTTTTTGTGAGAAATAATTGAAGAGAAATGATTGAACAGTACAGGGTGTTTTTAATGGCAACTGCAATAGGATTTATCTCTGGAGCAACAATGTTGATAGAAGGCATATTATAGCAGAACAATAAGGGATTAAACCATCAGGCTGTGAGAAAAGTTTAAGCTTCAGTTGACTGACATGATCATCTCTCTCTTTAGTAAAAAAAAAAACATTTCCTGCTAAGCAACATAGCTTTGAGAGGGAAAGTAAAATGTTCTTATATGCAAAAGACAAACAGGCACTTTGTAAGGTGTAAAAAAGATTAAGTGCTCCATAATATCAAAAATAACAAAATGTACTTAAACAAATACACTTTTTAATATCACTAAAGATAAGTTCAAAGCTGTTTTGCTGAGTAAGGGAAAGGTTTTATGTGTGTAAACCTCATGGGATTTTCTTTTCAGTCACTTTAGGGATGTTTTTATAATGAAAGGAAGAAGAAATCTAAAATTTGAGCATGTTCTAAACATCTGAAGGTGACATAATATCTGTGAATATAACTTTTAAAAGTGTACTTTATTGAAAGATTAGTGTTTAGGTGATGTGATTTCAATTAATCAAATTTTATACAATTTCTAAAAGATCCAATCAAAATTTGCCACAATAAAAAAATCCTAATGAACTCTGAGCTGAAGGTTCAAAGACCGTTACTCAACAATCAACATTAGTATTAGGGATATATTTTATGATAAATAAATCAAGACATAATGTATGTGTATGCCCAGTAAATAAACTTTTGATACTAAAAAGCACTAACTTGGCATTTTAAAAATGCTTTATCTGAAAACAATCCGAAAACAATCTTGTTGCTGATTCAGGTCAGTGACTTTGAATGCAACGACTCCTTTGACAAGGTAAACCTATGAACTGCTTAAAATACTTTCTCTTTCTCTTTAAAGAAGTAAAAACATTTACTCCAGTGTAGAAAACCAACCTTGCATTTCCACTGAGAGACATAACTAGAGATGAAAAATATATTAATTCATGCTACAATTTTCACAATTGAAAGAGAATAAAATGCATCTAAAATAAAGCAAACTTTTGGTCAGCATTCGCAGATTTGCAGCACAACCTTAACTGACTGGAAGCAGTCAAACTCCTAAAGCTGGGATGATAAAAGTAAAACTAAGTCTGCAAAGATCAGTGAGATTATTTTAAAAAGCAAAATTTGTTCAACAAATTAAAAAAGATTGCAAAAGTTAAAAAATTTAAAAATTGAAAGTTTAGCTTGTGTGAAGGAGAATAAAGTGAACCTTGCTTCCTTAGTGTCATTTAGAAAACAGTACTAATGGTCATATAGACAAAAAAGGACAGTATGTTTTTTCCCCTTAATTTGTAATTCTTACTTCATCTTTTGTCTTTTAGATTGCTAGATATTATCCTGTAAAAATAAATTAAAATGTCTTGGGTTAACTGAAGGCACCTTTTTCATAAATTAATAAATCTTTGTCCTTGATATTTATTTGACTTTATTACCAATAAAACTTAAACAGAAAGCAGAAAGAAAATGATGCAGCATTGTTTAGGAACAGAAGTTAATAGAGCAACGCCTCAGTGACACCATGTGACCACAGGTTTTTTTTTTTCCTCCTATACAAAAATAAACTCTAAATCCTTCACCCTCTTTACTCGTCCTCAGCCTCTCTGAGCATTGCGTACACTGACAGCACAGGTAGGAAAAGTTTATGTTAGAATCTAGATTTGTTATTTAGATTATAAATTGTGATGTCACCTTGATGTTTACCTTTTTCAATTATCTCTAGATTTAAATAACAATGCTGAAAAAGATTTTGTATTTTCTCTATTGCAACTTCCCTAACTAAATACATGTATTATGTAGCAAACAGTGCACCCTAGTGTATGACTTTAACTACACCAATCAACATTAAAGTCAAAGATATGAAACCAATAATTTACTTCTTGTTTTTGATTAGTCTTTAGAAACTTGTTTCTATTTGACGGAAGTGAACTTCACACCCTCACCATCATGCAAAGAACGTAAGTAACAAAAACATTCATTGTTCACAAGTGGAATAAAGATAAATTATATTTGCACTGATCAAACCACAAACAGCTTCAAAGTGGTTTCCAAAGACATTTTATCAACTTCATTTCCGAAACCAGTGGATTGCATAAGTTGTATAGCTGAATTTATTCTAATCTATTACTTTATCTGATATGAACTTGATTAAATAAGAGATAATAAAGAAATATTAAAGGAATTGTCAAATGAACTGAAGGTCCAGAAACTAAGAAACTAAAGGTTTAAAACAATGCAAATGTCCTCATTGGTTTAAGTGATCTGACCCACATGAAGAGAACCAATCAGAGGCCAAGGGAAAAAGTTTAACAGGTTTATTAAAAGTAGAAGAAATCCAGACGTTGGATCTGTAACTCAGTGGACTGGTGAACCGGAACTGGAAAGTCTGAAGGGAAGATCACAGTGATCAGTTCAGGGACTGTAGGAAATTTAACTGAGGCTTGAATATAACTGGAGAAGGACTCACGTTTGAGAAGCTCTTGTCAATCCTTGAATCCAGCTTGTGGGGGTTAATCCAGACAAGAGGGAACTCGTTGGGGGGGCGGACAGATTGACAAGCCTTGGACCCAGAGGAGTAAAGGAGCGGACTGTCACTTGGATTTCTGATGGGGACTTGAACGGATCATGAGGAGGTTTTCCGCTGCTCAGTGTGTACTCAGTTAATCCTTCCAGGGGGAGAAGGTCCAGGTATCCAGTTTCTCAGTAAGGCTTCTTGCCGAAGAGCAAAGACAAAAACTAGGTCAGACACAGAGAAACAATGCTTAGGTTAGACTCTGCTAATCTCAGCTAAACTGGCAAACACTCTGGTGTCGAGGTAGTGACAGCCCACTGCTCAAATACTCCTCCAGTAAGGATCCAACGAGCCGCAGGTGTGCAGGGAGGCCCAACGAGGACAGGGCACCACCTGGTGGTGGAGGGAGAAAAACACACAGACAACCGACACAAACTGGATTCTTAACAGTACCCTCCCTCAACGACCGTCACCCGGCGGTCCAGCAGAGCAGGAGGGCTGGGACAAATGAAAGTCTCTAAATAAAGATGGATCCAAAATAAAAGATCAAGGGACCCAAGAACGGTCCTCAGGACCATAACCCTCCCAGTTGACAAGGTATTGCCAACCTTGTCTGCGGCGGCAGGCGTCCACAATCCTGCGCACAGTGTAGGCAGGGTGGCCGTCAATGTCCAAGGGGGGAGGGGGCTCAGCGGGTGGGCACAAAGGGCTGAAATGGACAGGCTTGAGTTGTGAAACGTGGAAAGTAGGATGGATCCTGAGAGTGGAGGGGAAATGAAGGCAGACAGCTGATGGGCCAATGATCCTTTCCACCTTGTAAGGGCCAATGAAGCGGGGAGACAACTTCTTGGACATGGGCTTGAGGGGAATGTCTCTAGTGGACAGCCAAACCTTTTGGCCAGGGGTAAACGTAGGGGTGACCCTCCTCCTGCGGTCAGCCCATCAAAGGTTTTGGTCAGAAGAGCTGTCCAAGAGCCGGTGCCGTCCTACTCCAGACTGCCTTGCAGCAGCGAATGTGATGCTGAACAGAAGGGAGAAGCAATGTCTCCCTCCTTTGCAGGAAAAAGGGGAGGCTGATACCCCAATGAGGCTTCAAAAGGGGACAGACCTATGGCAAAAGAGGTGTGTGAACTGTGGGAATACAGTACTCAACCCAGGGAAGATATTGGCTCCAATCGGTGGGGTTAGTGGCAGTAAGGCATCTGAGGGTGGCTTCCAACTCCTGGTTCATGCGCTCGACTTGTCCGTTTGACTGTGGATGATAGCCGGAGGTGATTGAGACCTTGGCCCCGAGGGCCGAACAAAAACTTCTCCAAACCTTAGATGTAAAAAAGTCCAGTGGATTGTTTTTTAACTGTTTTCGAATCATGCAGGCTTGCATAGATGGAGACAGTCAGGTTCAGTGGTCGAGGGACAGAGACAAGACATGGTACCAGAATAATTGCAGAAACTTTAAACTGGTCTCCACCTAGGAGCCAGGATTACAGGAATTAAAACTTGCCTGTCCTGCACACCAAGCCAAAACTGGGGCTCAGCAAAGCAGAGCTGTGACACGATCAGAGAACAGGAGACAAACAGTAAACCCTCTCAATCCTAGTGACATGAGGACATAACGTGAATAAATAAAGAATAATGATCTGGCCCCAATAGCTGGGCTGAACCGTATATATAGCAGAGGGAGCAGGTGAATAACATTGATGATAATTAGAGAGCGGGGAGGGAACAGCAAGTGAATGAAGTGAGTAATCAGATCAGCTACTGTGGGAAGATCTGGAACAGCCACTGGCTTTAATTAATATATAGTCTTTTTTTAATATTAATTCCACATTACTGAGGATACAATATTAAAAACGTTGATTTTTATATAATACAAGCCTAATTTATCATGAACAAATGTCGATGATAAGACATTTAACGTCCTATTTAACATTAATAGTTTTTTAATGGTTTTATTATCACTCATATCAATGTCATTTAAGTCATTAAGTACGAAGACAATTCCATCCAAGAGGATATTATAACTCACAGTAACACCTACAGGTACACACGTGTAGTCAGGGTTTCATCAGTGTCAGCTATAGTAATAGTGATTCTGTTAATTCAACATTCTGAAAAGAAGAAATATGTATGAAAATCAAAAAATGGCTTTAAGCAAGTCTGTTCTTTTTTTAGGAAATCTTCACTGGACCAGGTGATCTCTGAAAGTACACTGATCCGAGAAGGAAATCCATCTGTTTACGTACTGCAAACAAAAAAAGAAAAATCTTCTACAATGACCAGAGTGACTGTTGGTACTAAAGATGAACGCAAGAGAAATAAAACTATCTTACTGGTCGGGGAAACAGGAGCAGGAAAATCCACTTGGATCAATGCATTGGTGAACTTCACCATTGGGGTGAAGTTTCAGGATAAAGTCTGTTTCCAGATTGTGGAGAAGACGGACCAGGAAACCTCTGAAGTGACTGTGTACGAAGTATTTGGCTTTGAAGGTAGAGTGATCCCCTTCTCTCTGACCATCATCGATACTCCAGGATTTGGAGGCATCGGAGGGATAGAATATGATGACAGCATCACTAGGAGTTTATTGCACTTGTTTCGGTCAGGAGGCATTGAAGAACTACATGCAGTGGGTCTGGTGATGAAGGCAAGCGATAATCGACTGAATGACAGAATGATGTACATCTTGAATTCAGTCATGTCTTTATTTGGGAAAAACATAGAAAACAACATCATAACTCTGATCACCCACTCAAAGGGAAGAACACCAAAGAATGTCCTTCAAACTCTTGAAGCTTCCACCATTAAATGTGCCAAAAATGAGAAGAACAAGCCAGTCTACTTCCTGTTTAATAACTGCCAGAGCGAAGACCGTACAGAAGAAGAAGAATACCTGGAAGGAGCCTATAAGGTAACAGAGAAAGGACTGAAAGAGTTCACTGCTTTTCTGGAAAAATCTCAGCCTCAAAAACTGAAGACAACTGTTGATGTTATCAATGAACGCATTAAACTGACAGCCTGCATCCAAAACCTGCAGCAAAGATTCATTGAAGCTGAACAAAAGCAGAACCAGATCAGACAAATCCAACATAACCTGATGAAAGATAAAGAAGAGATGGAAAAGAATGAACATTTTTCTTTTGAAGTAGAAGAGTCCTACAAAGTCAGAGAATATATCAAAAATGAAAAGTGGATTAAAGATTTCCTTCATGATGCAGCTATGTGTTGCAAACGCTGTCAGGAAAACTGTCACTATCCTGGATGCAATTGGGCTCCGAAACCTGCCTTCTGTGAAGTCATCAAAGACGGTCACTGCATCGTCTGCACTGGGAAGTGTCCCACATCTGATCACGTGAAAGAGAACTGGAGATATGTGACCAAGACAAGAAAAGTTCAAACTACTGCGAAAGAAATGAAGCAAAACTATGAAAAGAGTAAAACCGAAAAAGAGAACAACTCTAGTTATTTAGAAAGTCTGGACACTGAAATGAAAAATCTGACAGCAGAGAAGGCTCAGCTGCTGGAAGAGTCCTACAAACACATCACTAAGCTGGAAAAGATTGCCCTCAAAGTTGATTCAGCAGCTACCCTGGTCCACCTGGATTTCCTGATTGAGAAGATGAGAGAAATTGGAATGAAAGATAAAGCAGAGAAGCTGGAGAAATTAAAAACGAATGTTGACGAAGGAAGCCAAGCAGCCGTACTATACCAGCATGAGAA